TTTTTAGGTTTCTACTCACATAGACGGGGGAGGACAGCAAGGCCCAGGATCTCAGGGTCCCTTCTACAGGTTTTACCCTCACAGGGCTCTCTCCTCTGCCCCGGGAACCACCTGTGCCTGCCCGAGAACCAGCCTCTCCCCCATCAGAGCCCATATCTTATACGTTGCCTGAGATGCAAGACCAGAACCCCACAATCCTCTCACCCATCAGACCTGTGAGGGGATTTTTCATTCTTGAATTCCCTACCCCTTAGAACAGAGCAGGCACTCCAATATTTGATGAATGAAAAAAATTAAATTCAACCTCTCTGGCTCTGCCCACTCTTCATTTTTAGAATTAAGCACCTCCGTTTCAGTGTTAAGAGTCAACTATGCCAAGGGTTGACTTTTATTTTCTTTATACGCATTCCCTTTTGATCTTTGCCTATCCCTCTAAGACTTAACTCATTGCTCTAAAGGAGTACTGTCCAATTCTGCGATGATGAAAATGTTCTCGTTGTGTGCTATCCAAAACAGTAGTTACCAGCCACATGTGGCCATTGAGCACTTGACGTGTGGCTTGTACGGCTGAGGAACTGAACTCTTAATTTTACTTGGTGGTAACTAATTTTACTTCTAATAGCCATTGGCTAGTGGCAACGGTACTGGCAGAGCAGCAGGCCTGCCTACCTTGTTCTTTTCATTCTCAACCTCAGTGCCAAGTGAAGATGTTATGTTCTCCTTGGTTCTGAGTTGCCTGCTATTCCCCACTGAATGATGCTCTGACAACCTTCACAAAGCAAAAAGGCGGCTCGTCTTCCATTTCCAAGCACTTGCTCTGTGCCTGAGCGTAATCGTCTTGATGTGGCCCAGGGGATGGGGCAGGAAGCACATTGCCAGAAAGGAAGCCAGGACACCCAGCCACCTGGGACTCCAGGGCATCTGGGGCAGAGAAGACGGGAGGGGTGTGAAAGAAGCCCACTCTGGGGGCTGGACGCCAGCCGGGCTGCGTTTATTTATATCACAGGGTGTTACAGTTGTCTGCCCTGCAGCTGAGGACCCGGTCCACGTCCAAGGGAAGGGGACAGAAATCGGCTTTGTCCATGTTCCCTGGCACCTACTGCTGTTGTTCAAATGGTGCAAGAAGACCCAGAGATGGGGGAGGACTAGGAGAGGAAGCTGTCCCTGGGCAGGCAGACACCCTTTGGGTGTCATTGCAAAAGAGGATACTGAGTCACTTGCATATATACATCCACATTGATACTTATAACAACTGTAACACTGCCCATGGTCCAACTGGCCATGGGGACAACTCCCACTGCATGGCAACAGAGGGACCATTCAAGCCAAACACTTGGAAAGAGATGGGGTCTCAGGCTCTGTTTGCAGTAAACTATGACTGCGGAAGCTGGACTCAGTCCCCAGGGCTCGGGAAAGCAAGGTCACTCCCACCCTTTATACAGAGAGCTAGGACCTTCTGATCAGTGACCATTTTGGTTTAAAAAAGAACTGACAGGGATGCTCAATTATAGGATTCAAGTAGTGGTGCTGGTTCTACTGACAGGGCACGTGCTTTGTGATGGGCGCCTGAGGTCCCCCGACACCAAGAGCCCTCAGCTCTGCACCTAAAGAGCCCACACGGAACTTGGTGGCTGACCTCTATCCCTGCCCCTCCAGCACGTTCTTCTCCCTCGCTTACCCTACGTACAACAAATCCTTTCACCTGTAGAAAGGTGTTTAATTAGCATGAAGCATATTAAACCACTAATATCGAATTAAGAAGCTAAGGAACAATTTCAAGAAGAAACTGCAAGTTAACATTTGCTTTCTTTTCCTTTCAAAGTTTCAATATATTACTTTTCCCTGTCATGCCTATCACTTAACCCCCTCACTCATTTTGACTGTGATCTTTTTAAGTCGCCCTCATGCAGGTTGCTATGCTTGTCCATTGCACTGGAGCAGCCCTTTGGCAAATTATTCCACCACTCCAGTGGCCACGTTAATGCGTTTCACTCAAGTACACACTTTAGCTTCCCTAGCACTTTGGAAATGCATAGAAAATGCCTTCAAATTTCCTTCCTCGCTGACCTAGCAATTCTAAGCCCAGGAATTTATTTGGAGGAAGTAATTAAGGATGTCCTCAAAGCTTTAGTTACAGGGATGTTTACCCCTGGTGTTGTTTGTTTATCATCGTGAATAATTGGAAATGACCTACCTGTCCCTCAAGCAGGGCTAAAAGACCCAGGGCCAGGGACTGGCTGGTAGGAAGAAACCAATAATCAGTCACTAAGTCAATCAACCAACCGCAGAGCTGAAGTTTAAAGTAGAGACCTTGGGTCGATACAAATTCCTCAGGGCCTGAATTTTATAGGTTTAGGGTGGCTGCCTTTAAGAAAATTAATACTGAATTATAAGTATACAGAGTATAAAATGCGGCTCAGGGCCTTAGGAGGGGCCTGGATAAGTGAGGGCCTTTGGTGGGAGTTTCACTAACCCCATGGTAAGTCCAGCCTCAAGAGAAAAGAAAAAGAAAATGAAAGGAGGAGATGCTGGAAGTTTCTTGCTTCAAAGGCCACAGCTTACCATGACTGGGCTGCATAATCAGCAGAGAATAGCATTCAAGGTCTAAGACAAAGAATACTGAGGGGAAGGGAGAGGAGGGAAAAAGAAAGAATGGGGAGGCAAGTGCTTGGAAAAAGCAGCAGGAAGACAGAAATCAAGGAGATAAGCCAAACTAAGATCAAATTAAGGCAATGTCTGGGGGGGGGGGCGTTGCGGGATTGCTTAGAAAAGATTTCAGTTGAGGTTGGTTGGTACCTGAAAAACTATAGGGACAAGCATTCCAATAGAAAGGGCCGTGTGCTCAGTATCGGAAGCAGAGAGGGCATCTTTGAGACCAGCAGCCTGGCTGAAGATGGATTCCCACAGCTCCACTGACACCAAGGCCAGGCACCAGTATATTACTGCCCAGTTCCATGTCCTCTCTGCCATGCACCCGGGTGCAGAGCTGAGAGCCAGACCATCTTTTCTTGAACTTGTCAAACGTAGTCCCATTACTCAGCTTTTCCTCATCCCCTTTTGAAAACAAAGCAGGCTCAACGCTTTCCCCATGACAGATCTGATCGCAGCTTCTCCCAATTGTTCCCCAGCTAGGGCAGCTTTGACCTGCGGTCCATCCACATCCAGGTGAGTGAGTCCTGGCACCTCCTTGGAGCCGAGCAGCTGGAGAGAGAGCTTCAAAAGCTCAGCGCACAGGAGCCTGTGCAGCTGCAGACCCCACACAATCCCCAGAGCCGGTGCCTGCCTCTTCTCAGGAGCCCCCCCACCCCCCTGCACAGAGAAGCCCTTCTATTTTTGACAGCTCTCCCCATCTGCTTTGTGCCAAGGTCACACAGTCCAGGAGCCCAGAGTGGGATTCTGGGATGTGTTCTCCACTGCCTCTGCCCAGGCTGCATTCTCAACCACATCCAAAGCCCCCAGTGGACTCAGCGCAGGGGAGGACGCGGAATAGGCATTCAGCCTGCTTTGCTTTAAAAGGGGTAGTTGGCAAGTGCAGGGAAAGACAGTCTGACCTTAAATTCTACAGGGGGTAGATGGTGGAAAGGGAGACGTGAAATCAGACAGAAGTACACAAGGACTTTGAAAACTGGTTCTTTTGGAGGCAGCTCTTTAAACATCATGATTGTTAACGGGCTGGCTGGTCACTGAGTTCCCACTTTTCTAGGAATTCGTGAGGACTTGATCTACAAGCCCACCCTTTTCTGTCAGCCTCTGTCCAACTCAGAGCAGTGACTCTCCCACAGAACTACATGCCGAGAGCACAGGCATCACTGATCTTGCCCTTCCAGCCGGCAACCCCTAAGGATGTTCACACTGGTGACCACACAATAAATGTCACCTGGATCTCCCGTGGGGCATGATCTTGAATAGGAAGAACTATTTATGGACCTAACTCTCTTGGATGAAGAAGTGACCCTTGTGTGGCTGTTTCATCCCCCTCTTGACCAGGGAAAAGGGTCAGGAGGGACCAACCTCTCCTCAGTACTTCTCCTCTGGGGCTAAGCACTCAGGCTCCGCGCCCCTTAGCTGATGGTGCTTAACCAGGGAGAGCGCTTCAGGGGGACACTTAACCTGGAGGCTCTTCCAGGGACACTCAAGGGGCAACTGGGCTCCTTGACTTCCACAGAACTACATCCCTAAGATTGTTGGTGTTTGTCTCCAGGTCAGATGACCCATGTGAAATGAGGCCCAGGCTGTCCCAGAAGTCACCCACCAACCCCGCTAGCCTTGTGACTTGGGGTTCTGGACCATCCTTCACTGCTGCATCCCAGACCCTCTCAGCTGGCTTCCACAGAGGTCCTTGTAAGGGAGGCGGGGGCCTCTGGGCTCATATGTGCCCCTTGGGATTCCCAGACACTCGGCTTCTGGGGACCCCATTCCCTCCCCCAGCCTCCCCCCCAGGGGGAACCCCATCCTGACCGCCACCACCAATCGTACACACAGCCTATTTATTCTATTCCCCTCACATCCCAGGGTTACTGTACTTTCTGGGCGCAGCGGCGCGGGCAAGACTTTCAGCCCGGGAGAGGCGGGTGGGATGTCACCAAGAGTTCCTGAAACTGCGGATTCTGCATCTCAAGTTCCCCTTCTCCCCGGGCCCTGCGGCGCTCGGGATGCTAGCCGGGCCGGCGGCGGCACCTCGGGGCCGGAGGAGCCAAGTTACTTGGCGACCCAGCGAGTGAAGCCGACTCTGGCTGGGAGGCTGAGGACGGTTCTCCCCGCACACTGCGGGCTGGGACCCCGGGGAAGCGCCCGGCCCGGCCCCCTCCAGCTCGGGGCGCCACCCGGGAAGTCCTCCCTGCTCCCCGCCTTTCCTCCTCCGCCTGGCTGAGCGCAGCCGAGACCTTTAAATCGCCCCCTCGGGCTGGCGGCGTGGAAGAGGCCGGAAAGGCGGCGGCGGCCGGGGGTCTGGGGCAGGGGCGGCGGCCAGGAGCGGGGCAGGGGGCCGCGAGGACACTCACCAGCGCGTGTTGTCGTGGAAATGCTCCAGCACCGCGTAGCCGAAGAAGGACCCGGCGGGACCCTGGAAGCGCACGGGGCGCTGCGAGTCCAGGTTGTAGGCGCCCGCGGGAGTCCCCGCGGCCACCAGAGCCAGGAGCAACGCGCGGAGCCCCCCGGCGCCCCTCCGCGCCGCCGTGCCGCCCATCCCCAGCCGGCCACCGCCCTCTCCGTGCCCCGCGAGCAGGGCGCCGAGCCCGCAGGCGGCGGGGCCGCGGGGTCCACCGACGGCCGGCAAGCTCCCGGCAGCGGGAGCCGTGCGCTCGGATGCGGGCGGGATGCCGGGCCGGGGGCCGCAGGCCGAGCGGGCGCGGGAGGCGAGCAGCAGGGGCGCCCGGAGCGGGCGGCGTCCTCAGGCCGGCGGCGAAGTCTGCGCGCTCGCAGCGAGCGGGTCCCGGGCCGGGCGGCTCTGGACTGCGGAGAGGCGCGCCCGCGGGGCGGGTAGCCGAGGCGGCGGGACGGCGCGGCAGCGCCCCCTGCGGGCCGCGAGCCCCCCACGCACCTCCCCGGCGCGGAGGCAACCGGGAGACCGGCCAGGCGCCTCTGGCTGCCGGACCTCCCCACCCCGCCCTGGGCGCCCGCGACCCTAGCCCTCCCTGCAGCTGCGTGCTCCCCCCCCGCCCTGCTGGGTCTCTGTTGGTGCCTCCTGTGCCCTCTCAGCCTCACGCGAACATCAACGACCGAAGGAAGCCGGGGGCAGAATCGAGTATACACTCTAGCTCTGCCCGTCTGCTGCCCCCTCACCTAGCTGTGAGATAACCCGTAAGAGGCAAGTGCTCGATAAAGGGCAGCTGTTGTTGATAACAACAGTAGCCAAGTGGAAGCGAGCAGAGGACCCCTCCATTTTATGCTCACCTGGTCCGCTAGACCACTGATAGCTCAGTGCGGTGCGTGCACCAACAGCATCAACATCACCTGGGAACTTGCTAGAAGTCAGAATTCACCTGGGAACTGGCTGAATCAGAAGAAGGAGGGGGGAGGGGGGGGAGAGGGAGAGAGGGAGAGAGGGAGAGAGGGAGAGAGAGAGATTTCAGCAAGTTCTTAAAAGGTAAGGTAGTTTTAAAAAAGAACCACTGATCTAAAACACTGATTTCAATCTCCGTAAACTAAACCCTAGAAGTGATAATAGCAGGTGAAAACTGTAGTTGGTCTTCTATTTAACAAAACAGTAGTTCCCCAACCTGGCTGTACATCAGACCCTCAAACCATCATTTTAAAATGTAGATTTACAAACACCACTCTGAGTCAGAATCTCGAAGGGTGAGGCCCAGGAATCTGCATTTCAGACACGTCTCAGGAGATATTAAGTAGCCAGGTTTGGGAAGCACTGTCTTCCAGGAGATTCAGAGTCCTGTGTTGTGTTCTTGAACGTGGGGTACCATGATGTGCTGGGGAAAACATAGGATTTGGCCTCAGATGAAGAGGATTTCATTCCCAGGTCTGACTAGCTGTGCAATCTTGGGAAGTAAATGAAAAGGGGCTACTAAGAAACTAATAAACTCACTGATGGGCTTCTTGAGACACTATTTTCTAACTTTAAAACTCTAAACATTTGTTAGTTATTTGTATAATCTGACATCAAGCAAGAGCTCAATTTCCCTGTTGTCAGAATAAGCTTTTCTACCAAGACTTGATCTGAAGTATGTGTCTCCAGGATGACTGCCTGGGGGACATAAAATTTCAAATCTGGCCATACAGAATGCAGATTTGCTTCGTGGGGGTGTGCCTTTTGAAAAACTGCTCCTCTTGTCCAACTTTCTAACTGAAATGACAAGCAACTGCTCTTTTTCCCTCCCCTTAGTCTCTCATTTGAAGAACTAATGGAAAGGTTTTCTAATAATGCTGGTGGTTGCAGACTGAATAACGTGCATTATTAGCTCACCTATCATTTGCCTTTCCTAGAACCTGCCATCAGTTTCCCTAAGGCAAACCACTTCCTTCCAGGGGTGAAGAAGATAGTTGAGAGCATTCTTACCATAACGATGTGAAAGAAGTAATGGTTTTGTCCTGGCTCCTGCACAGAGGAATACTGAAATGATTAAATGTCCCAGCGAAAACAGTGTTGATTTTTCATAAGCCTTGAAAGAGTCTTTAAGATTAAGTGGTCTATTTTTTCCTACTGCTTTTCTCTACCAACTATTTTTTTCTTATAAATTGTAAATTTTTTCTCTGCCTCTCATTATTTCCTAATTGCTTAAATACTAGGTTGAGAGCTCGGTACATGTCTATCTAAGGCTCTTAATCCAAGCTTTGACTCAGTCATCTTTAAGTTTAGAGTATAATTTTTCACGACAAAAACTCTAAATTATAACAGAAAGTTCTTCTAGTTGAGAAGGTAGTAAAGTGAGGATTTTCAGGTCTTGAGCCATGTTTTTGCCTGAGATATTTTTTCTTTGAGTGTCCTCACCCTGTTCTCCAACAGAAAATGCTGATTCCTCCTTGATGGAGCTCCCCAGACATGACACTCCCAACATCTCCCTCGGCTCCCCGTCCTGAGTGCTCCCCTATCTGGACTCTGCCTGAATGTATCTCAGCAGGGAACTAAGTGGAGGTCTTGACCTTAGCAGTGACTATGGGAGCCTGGTCTGCCTGGAGCTGTTGGAAGGACAGACAGCGAGCAGGAGCACGTGTTGCTATAAGCTGACCACAGCAAAGCAGGCACATTCGCTATGTGTCTAACACTGCACTGAGCGTTTTACAGATCCTTATATCTCATCTTCACCACCGGTGATCCAATTAGAAAGCTCCAGGCTGAGACCTGATCTCAGCTCTAGTGAGGACCACCCACATTACAGGTCCACAATCCTTGTCCAAACTCTTGGGGCCAGATATATTACTAAATTCAAATGTTTTCAGAATTGACAAGATAATATAGTATAATCACCATACATTATACACCCAGCACATACGACAAACGTAGAACTAGGCAGCAAAATGTATGAATATTCACACTTGTGATCAGCAGAAAATGCCACCCCCCCCCAAAGATGTCCATGTCCAAGTCCCTAGAACCTGTTTTTTGCTTACATGGTTAAAGGGACTTTGCAGATGTAATTAAGTCCAGGATCTTGACATGAAGAGATTATCGTGAAATATCCAGATGAACCCAATGTAATCATTATAAGAGAAAGGAGAAAGAGAGCCCAAGAAGAAGATGTGACAACAGAAGCAATGGGCACCAACCAAGGAAAGCAAGCCACCTCTGAAAGCCGGAACAGACAGCAAAGAAACAAATTCACCCGAAAGAACTCAGAATTTCAAGAAGGAACTCAGCCTTGTTACACGTCCGACTGCCAAAATTGTTAAGATAATAAATTTGGGTTGTGTTAAGCCACTAGGTGTGTGGTAATTTGTTATAGCAGCAACCAGAAACTAATACACACTATAGTGTTATTATATCAGTTTGGGTAAGGTGTGCCACCAAAGTTATTTTTAAGAAATTTTCAGTTTTTCAGAACTTTTTCTACTTTAGAATGGTGAATCTCCCCTCCCACTCCCATCCTCAGTTTATACATGGAAAACATAAGGCACAGAGAGATTAGGCAAAAGGTAGGTATTAATAGTAACAACCTCATAAGTTTTCTAGAATGATTAAATAATATAGAATAGTATGTGGCACATAGGAAATACTCTGTAAATATTAACTATGTCTCATTCATTCTTTAGGCTACATTCCAAGTGATTTCATTTTTATTTTCCAGTTCACTAATTCTCTCTTCAGTGGTGTATAATCTGTTGTTTTACCAGTCCTTTGAATTTGTGATTTTCATTATTACATTTTTTAATCTAAAAAATTCTATGTGGCCCTTCTTTTAAAAATTGCCTTGTCAATTTCAATGATGTCTTGCTCCTTAATCATGTTTCCATCATCTTCCTTAATTTCTTTAAATAAATGGAACTTGTTTACTTTTATATTCTGTTTCTGGTAAGCCTAATGTCTACAGTCTGTACATTTGCTCCTGCAGTTTGCGGTCTCTGCTTATTCTCTCTCAGGGTGGCTGGTTTCCTGTGTGTTATGTAATCTTTGGCTGTGAGTTCATGTTCCTTGGAAATTTATCTTTGTTTAGAATATGTTCCTCCACAAATGATTTGTGTTTACTAGTGCCAATTGCCTGGAGCGCTGCTGTTTCACCACAACTTTAACCTAAATTTCTGGCTTGAAATTTTTTCTGCTACTCATCTAGCATAGCCCAAACTTCTGGTTCAATATTCGCAGGGGACGCTTTTTCCTTTTAGCTTTGTCATTCCACCAAGAGTCAAGGAAGCCAAGACAAGAAAGACTTGTTACAATCTCTCTCTGTGGGGCAGGTGTTATCCTAGTTCACCAACAAAAAGGGTTCAGCTTGATTTGATGTCTCCAATCTGAAGACACCCAGGCTTGGGTCCCAGATTTTGTCTCTTGTCCCCAACATGTGTGAGAACCACTTAAATCCACTTACTGATAGCTGAGACATCCTGCCACCTGTTGGCAGCTCAGCAGCAGCTCAGCTCGGGCCGTGAATCAAACCGGAGACCCTGTTGCTCAGAGCTCAAACTCTTGAGCGAGCTCTTTAACCAACTGAGCCACTCGACTGACCCAGAACCACTTAAATCCAGATATAACCAAGGTGAATGCTGACATTAGCACTCACCTTTCCTCCTAGAATTGTTTTCATGTTTTCTGGCTTCTGAACATTTGCTTTATTTTTTGCCAGCTTAGCAATCCATTCTTCGTGTTTATATTTTATTCAGCGGTTTCAGGTGTTTTGTACCAGGGAAGATTTCCAGCTACCTGGGTATGTGTTTTTACTGCATTGCCAGAAAGGAAACCTCACTGAATAACCAAATCATGTTTTTGAGCACTTTATTCTACTAGGAGGTTTCACGTTATTTCCAATCCTTAAAGAGGAGCCAGGGCAGATGTGGGGCTCTAGAATCTGAAGATTGGTTTGGTGTAAAGAAAAACCTTTTGACATCTAGGCAAGAGTTCTTGGAATGAAAAGACTTGCTGGGTGTCCTCGCTCTTCACTGCCCCAGGATGAGCTGTAGCAAGAACATTTACAGGAGAACCAGGACTATGACAGTAAAGTCTTTTATTTCTTTGTTAACTTTTTCACTTGCTCACATGTAATTGATTTATTCACTAGTTTAAACTTTTTCAAACAGTGAAAAACACGTCTTCCTTCCAATCCTTTCCTTTAATCCCACTATTTCTAGAGACAGCCACGGCCAGCCACAGCTTCTCAGCATGCTTCTAGAAATACTTTGTGCATCTTCAAATAGAGGACTTTTTTTATATACATATTAGCATACCCTACACATTGTGCCTTGCTTTTTAAAAGCTTACAATGTGTTAGAAATGCTCCATATTGATACAATTCATTTTTCTAATAGCTGCACACGTTTCCATCATATGGATGGGCTACAACAGATTTAAGCAACCTCCCCTCCACTGCCAGCTGGG